TCTTTTTCTTTGATTTGCCAGGTATTTGCCAGGGAAGTATTTGGCTATACCATTCTTCATAGGTGATTTTCTCAAAATAATAAATTCTTATGGAGAACTTCCTTGTTTTATACAGACTGATTAATTCAATATGTAAATTAGACATTTGAAAAAAATATTTATATAAATATATATATATGAGCTTCTTATTGAACTAAGGTACTTTTTAAGATCAAAACCTTTCATTATCTGACATGATAAGGAAACAAGTTGTGATGTCCAAATTGCCAATGAGCTTACTGGGACTGGATTATATCACTACAGTTGAGGCCAAGAGATAAGATAATACAACGTTGAAGGCTACTGTGAGAACATGCATATTTCTTCAAATTTCATTCACCTATTACATGACATTCTCACAGGCATTGTAAATTGCCAGTCATTTTCCATCTTGTGATTTTGGGATTAAATTATGAGTTGAAGCTGGATTTAAGAAAAAAAATCCCAAACCCAAGGTATTAGAAATCCCAGCATTGCCATTTGACAGCCTTTATAAACAAACAAAATCATCAGTTTAGACTGAAATGTGTAAATCAGAAAATGGCATAAAGGCTAGAAACAATCCAAAATAGTGTATAACACGATTTATGAAAGAAAGTCACGAGGAAGTCAAAATATCGCTTAAAAATTAAAACACATTCTGTGGAAGGCAAAAAAAAACCAACACGATGGATGTTGAAACAGAGGTCGCTAGGCCTGTGAACAATAAAATGTATCAAATTATAAAGTTTGTGAAGTCTACAAGATTCTTAGGATTCATAAAGCAGAGGACAAACAAACAGTTTATCAAGTCAAACTAATCCTTCAAAGAAACAACGGAAAATACTGTAAAAACAGATGAGTAGATTATAAGTGTGAAAATGAATGGGATATTTACTAATTTAAACAAGTTTGAAGTTATATTAGGAAAAAAAAAGCCAAGATATAGAAGTAAAGGCTAAGATTTCAAAAGTCAGAAAGCTGCCAAAGCAGCTTTCTCATAAACTATGTGGAAAATACTAACTTACAATTAAAAAAATATCTAAGGGAAAAATGTTCTAATGTGTTATAATCATCTGAAGTCTTCAATTTCATCAGAAGGATACTTTGACTGCAGAGGACAGTATAGTCAGAGACTGAGGTTATCTTCCAAGACATGGTTTTCACAATATAGAATAAGGTCAAGTGAGTACAGGAGAGCATTTAAAAAACCCAGTGACTCTACCATTTATTCTCTTGTAAAGTTCAGAAAGCTCAAGACAAAGGCTAAAAGGGGAGCTGGATAGTCTTAGGGTTTGGAAATTGTTAGATAAGTACAAGAAGCAGTACAATGGATACATATGCCAACAAGTGAGGGAAAAGAACAGGGAATCCAGAATAATTAAATATGAAACAATGGAAAATTTTCCACAACTATTAAGTGGAGAAGACACAAGAAAAAATTAAATGTAACTTTCCCACCATCAGATACCAGGTAGTTTCCCTTAGAAAAAATGCGCGTATATCTGTAAGACTTCATCTTTTTGTAGTGCTGTTTGAATTGTCAAGCATAGAAGGTATTTTCTTGCAGAATAAAACTACTTTAAGTTGCTTTGAAAGGCAGCACAGCCTACAGGTAAGACACTTAGGGGAGAAAATAATCATTAAGATCATAGGAATCTTGAGATTGACATCAAACTGTACATGTCTACACATAAGTGTTTAAGCTCTCATTATAATCCACGCTTATTATAAGCAATAAAGCGTAGAGAGCAATTCAGTCGATCAGCAGGTTTTGGGAGGACTAAATTGCTCACTGGGCTCCTTTGACTGCACTATTCAGATCTGCAGTAGGGACCGGGGCACAAAATGGACATGCAGGTACTTACAAGTAGACAAGACCATTTCAGTGTCCAAATCTGAAAACAAATCCCACTAGTAGACACTAGAAAAAATAAGGGATGCATGAAAGCACCAGTTAAGGTTCCCTCAGAGACATCCAATGCACTAGAGCAGCAGTTACTTAGAATGAAGAGAGCATTTTAAGGGAAAAAAAAATGAGTATGTCATGGACACTATGAAAACTGTGCTTTAGCCTCAGTGCATCTATATGCAATATTTTGGTTTTCTGCTAACTGAAAATTGGTTCAAACCATTTACTGCCACTAACAAGGATGAGGATGGAAGTACCAATGACAGTCTGAGCCCCACTCATCATTGTGGGAGAGCATTCTCAATTCTTCTATGGTGGTGGTTACAGCACTGGAGGATGGGGAAAGAAGGATGATAAGATATTCAGAATAAAGGAAACTAAGAGAGGAAGAACAAGAAGATCAAATAGCCAAGATGCCTCCTGACAGCTTTTATTTCCATTATCAAAAACTGCCTAATAACTATTTTGGCATAGAAGACCAGAGAATTTTCCCAGATACATAGTAGGATTGAGAATTTGATACGACAGGGGACGAAGGAGAAAGAAGGCTGAAAGCTGTAAATGTACAGACTAGATAACCAATTAAACAAAAGTATATGGAGCAAAGTCTACAGCTACTTTATGTTTCATGTCAGTAGTTGAAATAAAAGAAAGTGCCAAAACGTCTGCAGCTAGGAGTGACTAAACCATTGTTGAAGATCTGCCAATAGAATAGAGCCACAAGTTAATTAAGGAAGTAGTACCACAATGGTATTTTCTTTAGTCGCTATCATCACTTTCAGAAGAAGCTCAAGTACTAGATGTGGTTTTGGTGACAAGTCTTGCAAATTCTAAGGTATCAAGAAAACTGTATGAAAAGCAGTAGCTGAAAGCTATATACTGGGAATTGAAATACCTCATAAAATGGATGATTATATCTCATTCTGAACTCAAGTGAGAAATTTGAGCTGCTGGGTGGAGCTGCAGCAGCCTCCCTTCTCTTGGGCTTTCAGATGCAGCTCAATATATTTTTCCGTGAACAAAACGCAAAGTAGATGGATGATGCATTACAATGATAGTGCTGAGGTTTTAGTTAAAAATTACGCTATGTGTAAGCATAAGGCTGCTGATCATTTATTTAGACATAAGCATTTGATGAAAGTAGGTTGAAAGTCTATATTTTATTATATTTGATCAGCTTGAGAGGAAAGATGTAGATCATCGTTTTCAGAATTTCTCGGAAGTGACACCACTGATTCTGTGGCATAAAGCTCATTTTACACAGAGCAGATAAACTGAGGTTGAATTTAAGTAACTTAATTTTAATAATCTAAAAGCTAAAGGAACTTCTTTAGGGTATCCAGATTACGGAGCTTTTTTTAGGACGGATAGAGTCATCCTCTCTCTTATCGACCATGGAAGCTCCAAAAAGAAGTTGACTTTTAAAGAGCTAAATTTGAAATCAATGACCCCATTAGAAGCTAGATTCAGAATGAAACTGAGCTGTCAACGTACTTGCACTGTAAAGGCTAAGATAGGACTCATATGCCAGGTCATCTTTCTGTGCCTGCTCTTGTTACTGGTGCTGGGCACAGGGTGAAGTTCATTGTCACTAAATAACCTATACTAGCATAGATTTTAAATAAGAATATAAAAATCCAATGAAAATAATATATATATGCTTCTTTTTCTCAATAAGTGCATTCAAAAAGAAATGAAAAAAAAATCAACAAACAAACCACTAACAAAATCAAAATGCCGTTAGTAACATGTTTTAACTTTCCGTCAGCCCTGAAGTGGTCAGGAAGTTGGACTAGATTATCATTGTAGGTCCCTTCCAACTCAAAATACTCCATCCTAAAAAACAAGCCTCAAAACTAACAATTTTTTTTTTTTCCCAGGCAAATAATCTAGGATATACTGTGTTATAGAGTTCAGACTGTACATGGATCTTCTGAGGCATTAAAGCCTGATATATAGCATCCTGGATAACCATCACAGTATCCTTTCCCAAAGGACAGTATTAAAGTTTCACTTTAATATTAGTTTTTGACCCTACTACTCCTTTCAGAATGCTGTCATGATTTAATGTTCTTTATTTTGCTCTGCTTATTTTCTCTTCAACCCTAATTTATACCAATTAATTCTCAGGTCAAAATTTGTTACAGTTAGTTCTTGGTTCTAGCGCTTCTCCCACCCCTTCACTTCTATTTTTCCAAGATATCATGGTCACACCGGATGATATGGCCAGTTTTCTTGTTCCCTGTCATAACTTCCTAAACATTGTTTGTGATTCTCAGTGTAAAGGTAATTGTCATGATTTTTTAATCATACTGATGCATTTACATCACTATGTAATTTGGTGTAAATGGTTCTCACTGTGTCTCAATTGCTGAATTTGTGAAAACACATTAAAACCATTTTTTCATAGACAATCATTGAGTAAATAAAATGCCCTTTTAAATGTCTACAAATACATCTCATTTACTTTCTTTAGGGTAAAGTTAGTACGAACACAGAAGGCAAAGCACTTCCCCCATCTCTAGTGGAGGGGGACTGAAGAACTTTCCATTCATATTATGAAACTATACCTATTTAAAGCAAAAATAACTCTCTTGCCTCATCAAATCAGAATGGAATTGCTATTCATTTTGTCATCTTCACAGCTTCCTCTCTCTCCCCACCCACCTTTTTCCCATACTTTTGCATTTTCCCCTTGATTTTATTGAACAGTGCTAGACAGATTTCTGGCTCCATTTGTTCATGTACAGGCTTTCAGATAGAAACACTTCACTAAGAGCAAAGCTTGCACAAAACACAGCTACCGGCATCTACATTGTGCCTAAAGAGGTAAATTGGAACAGACAGAGGTGAGGGCTAGTGATGAATACACCTGGGCAAATTGTTTCATCTTCTACTACAAAGTTATCTGCCACCATAAAGCGATCATCTGAATAACTTATATTTGATTATATAATTCCTCTCATTTCAGAAAAAAAAGAGCAAAAAAGGGATTTTGCATATAAAAAGGATTAAAAGCTCATTGATTTTGGTTCTACTAGTGTTTGAAAAGAAAAATATCTGATCATACCTCTTCACAGGCGGTCTTGAAATCCATGTGCTATGACACAGCAAGTGATATTTGTCTAAAATGGAGAGAAAGATTTCATTAGAATGAAAAAGATATTGCAAAACATAAAAGTTACCTGTCTGAGCTGAGCAATTGCACTTCTTTTTGTCGGGTCCAGTCATAGTCATTGCTTAAAAAGAGAAATGATCAAAGTTGCAACAGGATTTGGAAGTGTAAGGTGTTAGAAGTTGTTCCTGGTTCTTATAAAGTACACAACCCAGTTTCATTGAATATAATCAAAGGAATGCTTATGTTCCCACAACTTCCTCACTTCCATGGGGTATTCAAACTTACTTTTCTTATTGCAAGTGCAAATTTCTGGTTTTGTGAGGTGGGTTTTTTTTCAGTTTTGTAGTCTTGTTTTTGTTTTTGTTTTGTTTTGTGTTTTTTTTTTTTTTTTTTAAGTAAGTATACTGGAAAGTAACAGAAATGAAGACAATTAAGTGTTGCTCTTCAGAATACTCTCTCTCTTCTAAAAAAGTGAGGCGTTTTTTTTTGTCCCCTAATTAAAAACCCTTGTGCATCAATACCTTTTGTCTCACATTTTATTAACATAAATAATCACTCCAAGGAAGCAGATATCATTTACCAGTGTGCCTACTTTGCAGAAATATTTATGAGCTGAAAAAATAAACGTTAGAAAAGTCAGGAATATATGTGAGTACTGGCAAAATGTCACACCAAATCCTGTGATTATTACTTTGCCTGGCCTTTACCTGGCGTGTGTTCTTCCCAATGCACACTTATGCATTCATTTATTTATGAGATAAAGCCACTGGAAAAGGCTGTTATCAGAGAATAATAACAGTGTCCTGCTGCTGGTTCTGCAATAGAAATACTCATGCATCAACCAACAACATTTCCAGGAAACACTTCCTGGGCAAAATAGTCGTTTCATTCAATGGCTGGAGAAATGAAACCTGTAACAAAATCCACTCCATAAAGCATTCTATTGCTATTCTGTATTCACTACGTGCTTACAATTAGTTGTACAAATATAGTACTCAGAGCTCCCACACAAAATTTGCTCCATTAATCTAAGTTTAAAATAAAATTATAAAACTATACCTCACATAGTACAATAATAATAATAATAATAATAATAACAACAACAATAACAACAACAACAACAATAATAATAATAATAATAATAATAATAATAATAATAATAATAATAAAAACAATCTCTTAACTAAGTCCTTTTTTTTGTTGTTTTGCTGCCCTGGATGCAGTTTCATTAAACCCAAGTACACGCATACGTATGAGGTTAATGTTTTGGTTCACTGCCTGTGTTCTAGACTAATTTCTAGCAGAGCTAGCCTAGGTTGGCTAGGTTACAATGCAGGAATTTAAAAGGGAGCTATCATCATTCCTTCCTTACCAGCTTTACAAGTGCACCAGGATCCAATAAAGATCTATATCTGTAATTCTGCTCTCAAAGTGCTCATAAAAAACAAGGTCACTAGCACAATCTTGAAGACTTTTCTCTCCGGTGGGACAGCCATTGTGCAATGAAGTGTTTCCTTGTAATTTTTATGAACTTTATTTCCAGGTGCTGAGTAAGCTGCAGTGGGAAAGAGGCTTTATTCACCTTAGCAAAGTATTCTGAGGATTTTTTAGCCTTCTGGAACTATAAACATATGTATCTTTAAAATATAAACTGAAGTACTGCAGTGCTCTCCTTCCTGGGACCTGATTATGTTCGGTCAGTAATTCCTACTGCAGTCAAAAGCATATTCACTTATATTCACAAAAGTGTATCTTTTGCCTTATTAATAAAAATTCTGCAAAGTTTGGGTTTGGGCAACTTTGGTTCCACAGTCAATGACAATTCCTCTTTGGTTCTTTTATAGCTACACTTTGATCTAAATCCTATCTAATCTAGGTCATTTCCACAACTCAGTATTACTCTATTTTCTTCTTTTTGTTGTTTTTGTGTGGTATGCATTTATTTACTTATTTCAGAAATATTTGCACTACCATGAAGAAGAAAAGTCAAGAACAACCAGGCTTCCCAGCATCATAGCTTATTGTATATACAGCTCATGACTTACTTAAAATAGTTTCTAATTTTGCTCAGATAATAATTTAGTAATCATTAGTATTCATATGAATAGCAACTTCTTTATTGAAAAACCTTTCTTAAAAAGCTTTTTTAAAAACTCTTTCAAAAAACACTAACATTTTAAACATCACTGCCATTAACACTAGCATGCTTAATATGTCAGGTGATATTATTTCTGAATGGCAGGGGTCATAGTTCTCTGTCCTATGTCTTGAGGGCTGTCATGGCAAACAAAGTCCCTGATCTTCAGTGAGATAGTCCTCAGACTATAAATATAGCCTCCCACTACCTGTTGATACTTGGTAAATCTACCTGCTGATCACCTTGGTGATACTTCCTTTTTTCCCCTACATGCTAAATTACAAATAGGTAAAATAAAATATACAATCAATATTCTCCTGACATCCATTTCCTACTGAAATAATTTCTATGGTTCCCACAGAAAGGTTACATATAGAATTTCCCCTGGGAATGGTGCTTAGAGGCAATTTTTCACGATCTCTGACAAAAGCTTTTACTATTAAAATATTGTCTAAAATGTAAATCTGGAACTACATAACTCTCAACACAAAAACATACTCATTGCAATGAGTGTACCTGTTTCCCAGGTGTTCAACTACTTCATTACTAATCTTTGCAATACAGCCACCACTGCTTCTGTATCATCCTATTTCCTACCGATTCTTGTCTGCAGCTGCACACAGAGAATTTAAGCCCATTATCAATGTTCTTCTTCTGACTATCAGCAATTTTGTAACACTTGATATTTTAGAAACAGCACATAGAAGGTTTGATTACAAAGTGCATTACTTCATAAATCAGCTCAGAAACATCACTGTTTCCAGCATTTACACCCCAAATAAACACTCTAGATGATTAAAGTACAGGAATAAGTATCATGCATCATGCAGAAATTTTATTATCTTAACGCTGCTAAAATGATTAGTAATTGTCTCCTTGTGCAATATATAAAAAAAGGAAGAAAACATAAACCCAAGTAATTCTAAAAATAAACCACTTGTGAAACGATAAACCATGACACCCAGCGCTGAGAGATATCCCCTGTTAAGCCTGTGGCTAACCTCTGCAATCCCTTTACCTTCAAGTCACAGCCACTTTCACTTGGGCATCTTTCCAGCTCTCCTAGCAGCTTCCTTCAGTCTCACCTAGACAGGCCACTGGTTACCAGCCCACAGTCCCCTTCAGCCTCATTATTTGATTTTGTCTCTGTCCCTCCCCACCTTTAGCTTGCTTTGGGACAAACTGTGCTCCAGAAGGAGAGAAAGGAGCTGTCTGTGGCTTTGAAGGGAAGAGATGCAGAGGAAACAGCAGCAGTGTCCGGATAGAGTAGAGTGTGCTCGAGGAGACAGGAGCAGTGTGTGTTATCCAAAGTGAAAGAATGGCTGCAAGAGCAGCGAAGTTTCCACTGGAAGGGCTGCGGACCACCGCAATCAAAGATATGTAAACAAGCAGGCTTTGAAAAGATACTTCCTTCCTTCCGACTTGATTTTCAATCTGCGCTTCCTCCAAAACTGAGTTATCAAACTTATTTAGCTCATCTCTGCTGACACATGTAAAGGAAGTAACACATGACAGACAGGTTGGGAACAGAATTTGACACCCCCTTGACAGAATAAGCGGTTATTCAATACTGAAGAAACATTTACCAAGCAGTATTATTATGGCATTTGTGTTCTAAAGGGAAATCAACGGCTAAAACATACCGGTAAAGTTGAAGGCCATGGTAGCCCTCAGAGACAAAACTTCATGTAGGATATTGCACTGAGCACTTGAGCTATGCTCTGATCTTATAATAAATCAGGTCATATTCCAGTGCTATAAGGGATGTAATTTCACAAAGTACTTCCATGACTGAATATTCCAGTATACTTAATAAAATAACAAACAAAAAGAAAATTTAACGTGCACACCACAGTAATAAGAGACACTTTGTATTGGGAATACCACAAACCGAACGAAATATTATTGAAGCAATAGTAGGAAACATTTCATTCTCAAGGTTAGTGGTGCAAAGTAAGAATACAATATTGTATGCACAACTAATGAGTTCATGGAGAAATTATGTATTATCAAACAATTTAATTTAGTATATGATACCATTGCAGCTCTTACTTGCTGGAAATAAGTCATAAGAAATTCTTACTGTCTGAGAACTGTCTGAATTGTTAACTGAGAAACAGATTAAAACTGTGTTTCAAAGACACAAATATCAGATCTGCAACTAATTGTGACAGTAGTTCACTACTATACTGTATGTTTGCCATTTCAAGTCCTTCTGCCTCCATTCTTACCAACATCTTTTGCGCTCTACATTTTGGACATGTCTGAAGAAAATTGTATCTGTCATTTCTGCGTGTTAGGAAATGAAACATACACGTTTGTAATTCTGCAGGGGCTTTTTTTTTATAGCAATGATTAAAAAAAAAAAAATCTCTATTGT